ATTTCACATGTGAAATTTGAAAATTTTCTTTTACAGAAAAGTATTTTTAATCTTAAGATGAATATTACTTTGCATATTGGATAGGCAACACGTGAAAAGAAAGAAAAGGCATGAGAAAATTATTGCTTTACAAACCTTAAGACCTAAGAATAAATTTGATATTTTGCGCATGAAAGCATTGTAATGTTTACTGATAATCTGCCATATTTCGTTAACATACACTTACTAATTTAAAAGTTATAGCATGAAAACTATAATAAGCACAAAATGGTTATGAGGTCCTGCTGAAAGAGTTAAACAACAAGTTCACATTTATGTACACATACTTGATGCTATGTGCAATATGTATACAGCTACATACAGTAAGTTTGCATTGCAAGAGCATCTTACTGCAGACAATTAAATGAACTGCAGCTGACTTGAGCAAATTATGTCTTTATAATGGCTGGAGATGACTTGAATGGGTAATGAAGAAAAAATGATGATGACAAAACCTTGCCGAAACATTGTACATTTGCTGTTATGTTAAACTTATATTAAAGTTTTTTCTTCATTACCCATTCAAGCCATCTCCAGCCATTATTAGTCTCAAAGTGGGTTCCTCGTCATCGAAATTATATCTTTAGTTAGCAGTCACTGTTACAAGAAGGTTAACAATCATAGTTTTTTAACATAAAATTGTTGATTAATTAGACATACCCAATATAATAATAAGTAAAAAACAGAACAGTGTAACACTGACAGTTCAGTTATAAAATGAATATAGACTTTCAGCTATAGCAAAATGTTCAAAGAAAATGTTATATTATGTCCATTGATTTTAACAATATTGTTGATTAATTAAACATACCCTTTGGGAAAGTAAGAGATGCACAGTTACACAGCTGCTTCGTTACAGTATTAAAATGATTAGTCTTTGAATATGTTTTATGTTTCATACTTGTATCATAACACTTCTCTTGCATCTTGTACACTTGACATTTAGTATCTTTTATGAAAGCAATGCAGCTGCTAAACATACCCTCCTCCACCCACCGTACCTTCCCATAATGGTTTGAATCTCCAAGGCACAGAAGGATCTGCTAAGTATAATGTTTTGGTAGTGCTGTGCATATGTATGTCTGTTGTTTTTAATACAACAACTTTTATTTAAGTAATGGGCAATATACAAATCAAAAAAGTGAATTTTCTGTGTAAGTGTGATTACTATTCAAACATTGTCAGAAGTTCTTTGTTAATAAAACAAAAAGAATTTGATGCTGCTTGAATGCAAATGTTAGAGCTAGCTTTGAATTCCTGGTTAATGAACAAACTTTCAATCACAACCCTAATTTGTATATATTTTTAATTTGTTTCTTTTTCTTCTTTATGACCAAGTTGGATCAGCTGTCTGAATTTTTCATGGGCAAATTTTAGTGCATAAGGTTATCAAACTTTTGCTTTTGAAAAGCTTATTTTTCACTGTTAATAATAGGGATGAATTTAACAAATTTTAACTTGTTACTGTTCACACCTTGGGACCAGATTTATTGTGATCTAATGAAAGTATTTCCTGTAACAAATATGTGCATTTTGAAAATTACACATGGTCCATTTCATTTCAATATAGTCTTAAGTATTATTATCTTACAGTGGCTAAATCTGCTGACATATTTTATATGTGGTGGCAACTTATTTTTGTTTATGCATATGACATTATTTATCTTTGCTTATTCTACCTTTACAATGTATGCCCTTAAGAACTGTATCCCATAATTAATTGGTTTTGTCTTTCTTATTTCTCCATCTATTGGGGTTTTTTGCAGTGCTTCAGACTTTTATTCTACCAAAATTTGTAGTTTTCCTTTATACTAAAATCTTTTCAATTTAAGTTAGATCTGGCACAAGAGCTGCTTCTTCCTAACCGTGGAAGAGTGCAGATATAATTCACTTCTGATTCAGGAAAAATGTCTTCAAGAGTTTTTCTTTCTGATCATTTGGTATTTACTCATACTTTTTTCAGGATTTGTATGTGTGATTAAAACCTGGAAAATGCTTGAATTTGGGTTTGAAAATTTCACTCCTGGCATTTTCATAAGATTGGTTTTTAAAAAGTGCTTACAAATTATTTGTGCAAGGAAAGAAAATAATTTCTGCCCAAGTTTATTAAATTAAAATCCTTTTCGGTATAACATTTTGTACAAGAATTATAACTAAAAAGATTGTAATTTTTAATGTATCAGTTGATTATTATGCCTACCCTCTTGTGATTACTGTGATAAGTATTACATTTACATCTTGTGATAAAGAAATAAAAATTACTTGTAGTTACAGTGAAAGCATTGTATCATTTTTATCTAGTTACAAAATTAAAAGCCATAAAAATTTCAGAAACATAAGAGACATCATAATTAGTTGAAAATTAGTTCAAGTAAACATGATACAAGTCTTTAACACTGGGCCTTGTCAACTAAAATGTAAATAAAAATTACATAAAATAAGAATTGATTAACAGGTCTATAAGGGTTATAATTTCATTGTATAAGTCAATTGTTAGGCCACATTTGGAGTATCATGTACAGTCTTAGGCTCCTTACCTTAAGAAGGATGTTGAATATTTGGAAAGGATTCAAGGAGGGCTACTTTAATGATACCTGGGATGCAAAGGTTGCCATATGAGGACAGGTTAATATCTCTTATGTTATTTTCTCTTGAAAAAAGAATATTTAACCCATTGACTGCTGATTTGCCATATAGGGTATGGTCCACCTCTGGCAGTTGAATGCAAGTGTGCTGTATATGGTGTACAACTTGCAGAAATTCTGTATGTGTTTAGAGAAGCCACAGTCAGTGGGTTAAAGGGAATTTGATTGAGGTGTTTAAGATTGTCAAAAGAATTTATAGTGTTGTTGCATCATCTTTTTTATATTTAATGTTAGGAACAGTAAGACTAGGAGACACAAATACAAATTTTGACAGAGTGGGAGTCATCTTAGGCTAAGACACCTTTATTTTTCTAACAGAGTTTCTTTACCTTTGGAATGGGTTGTCTTCAATTGTAGTAAATGCAGTAAATTTCAGGGAGTTTAAGGGAAGGCTTGATAATTGTTTGAGTGTTTTATTTTTATTTTAAAGTTTAAATTAGTGAATTGGATGGCTTAGATGGACAAAGCCACTTTTTTCCTTAAACTAGATGTTATATGTTAAATAAAACATGATCTTAGAAAATGGCTACCTGCCCTTGGATATGGAGTATGCCAAGGATAAGGAACAAGTCTGATGGACTAATCAATGTAAGCAGAGGTTAGGTAAGAGAATGGATGAACATGACCTGTGGGTATTTCCATTAATGGAAGGCTTTGTGGTATTTTCAGGTGAACTGATTTTCCTTTGAGTATCAAATAGTTAGACCAGTTAATAACAGTGGACTCAGTAAGGAAGTAAGGAGAGCAGTCTGTTTGGTAACTTAACTGAGTTTCAAGTTGCATCAGAAAATAAATAGGTTTGACATGTTTGGAAGATAGTGAGAACAATTGTTCTTTAGACACAGAAGAAAAAAATGTGTATACCTGCATTGGCATTTAATGCCTATACGGGAAGAGTGAATAGCTTGTCAGCTTTCCATCTTTTAAGACGAATCTTTGTCAGGCTAGCCATGCTAAAAACTGAAAAATAAAGTATCCTTAGTTCAATAAGTAAACTCGATTTCTTTTTCCTGTTGACAGTTTCATGATCTTTGTTTTCTTACTTCATTGGTTTATTTGTAACATTCAGATAATGTCAACTCAGCCAGCAAAGGATATCAGAGTTGCTAATTCTTTCAGTCTAGATGCTATATGTTACTACAGTGTCCTCTTGTGAAGAATATACATTACCTACTAGAGAGAACAATGAAAGAAAGCAAGTATAATAAGGTAACCTCAAAGACTTCCTGGACCATGAATTTATGCTAAAACTGCATACAAACTAAATAGACAAAAAATATTAAAAATTCTTATGCCACTAAAGCAGGTAGAAAACATATGATATGACTGCATATCATTGCTTTTGTTTTCTTTGCTTAAGTGTAAATATGTTGTTCGTAGATATCACCTTTCTTGAGTTGTCATAATAAACCTACAAAAGGTGTGAGATAATCTTGAAACTGCAGTATATTAGACACTAAAGAGAATCTTAAACCCCAGATAAAACATTTTGTTTTCTAACTTACCCAAGGTATGGGTAGACAAGTTATAAGTTATTTTATTGGGGAAATATGAAATGCTGTTCCCTGTTTGTAGCAGTTTCTTAAGGTGGTTTAACATGCATGTCTTAAACTAATTATTGTAAGTGTGCATCCAATTCAACAGGCTGATTGCACAGAATCCATAAACTCTGTATTTGGCAACTTAACCAGTATATCTTCATGTGAAACAGCCTGAATACCCATTTAATTTTCCAGCTGCATGAGATATGCAAATGTTAAATGGGTGTTACGGCTGGAAGCTTTATCTTGGTAAACCCATACTCCCATTGGCCATGTTTCTAAACTTTTGGAGACTTTCAGTGATCTTATTCTTGGTGAGATGGAGATATATATTTAGATCTGTGGTGGTCCTTCGGGAGGCTCTGATTCTGCTAGTGAGGGCAATCCTCAACATTTTGGAGAGAGCCCTTAATTTCAACCCGGAGTAGTGGAACCTCGGCTATCTTGTTGGGGCTGGCCTATAGTGATTGCCACTTATGTACAGTTCCATCTGTGATACTAGAACTACGTTCAGGGTGAAGAGTATACCTGTTCTGGATGTAGTGCAGTTCTCCCACTCTTGTACCATTTTTATCTTGGTACACTTCTGTTCTATACAGATGCTTTCTGTATGGTTCGTGCCTGCACTGGCCCCTCCACCTTTTCAATGTGGGATTCTAGCTATAGTGTCAGCAGAGGTAAGTATGTTTTGGAAGTTAACATTTTCTTAAGTTGAAAATGTATTTCCAATAATACTTACTTCCGCTGACACTCTTCCTCCCTACTAAGAGCCAGTGTTAGAGACTGGAATGGTGTTAGTCTCGAAAAAGTGATATAATTATCTGATTGAGGTGCTTATTTACATCACCAGGATAGAGGATGCATTGATGTAGATGGAGAGTATCATGAGACATATTACCAAGGGCAATTGAGTGGGGTATAAAAGACTGGAGCAAGTGAGAAAAAATCAGACCAATGCTTAGATAGGCAAAGAAGAAACACTGGCAGTCAGACCTATAAGTGTCAGTGGAGGTAAGTATTCTTGGAAATACATTTTCATTTAGGAAAATGTTAACTCTTAGTGACATCACACTCCCAATGAAATACCAAACAATGTCAAAATGTAGTTCTGACACAATCTTTCCACCTCAACTCTCTATTGGTTGTAATTGCCAGATGACTTTCTCATTTTTATATTCAAAATTGTTTTAATATACTTAACCCTCTGAAGATAGCAGAATTAAAACATGTGGAACCTTATTGTACATATCAAGCAAAACTATACATACTGTATTGTTTTAAAGACAAAAGAAAGTCACCCAAACTTCTGCTTTGAAGTATCTTATTTTGTTGTAAAAACTTTAGTAAAATTGTACCATGTAACTTTTTTTCATCAGGACCTCATTTCGAATGCTTGCTTGTCCTCAAATTCTTTTCATGCTACTTTCATTATTATTATTATTATCACAGTGGTGGTGAAATGTTTATTTATATATTTACCATTAAGCCCTCATTAATTGCTGATCTAGCCTTTTTGGTGACATATTGAGTTAATTGGGAGTTTTTTGGCACAGATTTGAAAAACTTTGAATGACTTATATATTGAATGAATGAACAAACACTGTTTACAGGTTTGGAACACTACTTTTCCAGCATCTGTTCGGTACAGTTCTGATATGAAGATGTACAGTTGGAATTACACTCAGTTCTCTCAATTTAATGAGTCTGATACTCTCTTATTGGTCTCAGGTGTACATTTTGGAGCTCACACAGCATCTGGAGAAATAGCTGTTTTCAACCTTTCAGGTAGGTCTGTGTAAGATTCATGAAATAAGTAATACTCGTAGAAATTATCTTTGCTGAAATATAATTCTTTATGACGAGCATGGTCAGAAGTACAAGATTGCAGTTTTGAAAAATAAGCAATGGAGGATTCTAAAAATACCTGCACACTAATCATTTGTTTGAGTATAATTTATCCTATGATGAGTATTTATTCATTCATTTATTAAAAGGATGTTACATTAACAATTTTGTGCCAGGAAAGCTCATCTATTTTGTACACAGTCAGTAACTCATGCCATGCAATAATCAGGCAACTCAAAGCTGTTTGTAAAGTTCCCTAGTTTTGATATACTTATTTTGAAATCTTCATAATAAAAGAAATGTGAAACGCAGAAAGATTTTTGCCTCCTCATTAGGAAAGAGCATAAAAATTAAGATATAAACAGTTAAAATGAATCTTAAATTTGTTATTAGTGTAACACTCAGTATGATTTGTACGGTGATGAGTATTATGAACATTCAGAATCAGTTTCTTCCAGCAATAATTTGATAGCATTATATGCACTTGGTGAAACTGACAATTATGTCATTAGTGTTTAAGGTATCACTAACTGTTATTTCTCTGCATTGGAATATTCAGTCTAGTGAATTGTCTCTTATTCATACGAGTTTTTCCTTCCACCTTCCTCTTAATTATTTTGTAAAATATTTGAGCTGAACTGCATAAATCAGTTGCAAGACTTCGTACTAGTATAAGGGAATGACTTGGATATATATATATATATATACAGAAACTTTAAGATTAAAATCAGGAAGAGACCATACAAAAGTTTGGAATTGAATTATACTGTATATGTTTCAAGCAGAAATAGATACATCAAGAGAAATAAGATCTATCAGTTGAATTTAACAAGTTTTTGATAGCTTGTGGTGCATTGTTTCTGGATAAAGTTCTCCAGTTTCTTGAAATGCTTCATCTTAACACATCTATGATATGTAGTTGAAGGTTTGTGTATAGTTCAAGATTTTGTTTTGGTTTGTTTAACGTTCTCTGTAATATATTATATTTTTGTATCCATAGTTAAATTATCTTCTTAAGTAATTTCAAGCAAGTTTCTTGTAGGATCCTGTTGATATCTGGGGATGAAAGTAATGATTGTAACTTCACTCATAAACATTTTGTTTGGACTTTAAAATCTCTTCATCTGATCAGGAAAGTTTCGAGATGGTTGGTCCATAACAGCTCCTAAGATTTTAGTTCAAGAGTACTTTAGGTAGTGTAGATATGGTAGAATATGGCCAATCTTTACCGAGGACGAATAATGATTAGGGAAAGAAAAAATAACAATTGAATGCTGATATTAGCATTTGCTGGTTTCACTAATTAGCAGTAAAATCCTTACTGTTTTGACCATAACTTATTATATCCAATGTATTGGGCTCACTATCTTAGAAAATATACCAAACAATACAGAACCTTTAGTGCACATTTTAGTTGTTTTTCAATATCCTTAATTTGAAAATGAACAACCATTTATTAATTTTGAGAACACAATTTCTAGAGAACAAATAAAGACAAGTTCCTTATCTTTATCACATAAACAAATTGTATCTCTCAGCCTTAATTTTGCTCTAACCCTTAATATTACCCCAACCATTGACATCATAGCTTCCATAGAAAAAGAAGCTGAAGAATTCTCAGTAACAGAAGGTAATAAGCTCATATTCCTACGTTCTCAACGCTTTAATAACACAAACCAATAGGACAGAATCTTACTCATCAGTCCAAACTTTCCAAAAAGATCCCTTAATACATATTTTACCAGCATATGAAAGAAACTATACAGTAATCTAGACAGGATCTTACAAAAAACTGGAAAAAATGATCCTACAAACAAAACGGAATGAGAAATCGAAACATTATCAACAGATTGAAACCAAACAACTATTAAATATTAGTTGACTGTGGAAGCAAATCTCCACATCTGTCTGGATTACCCAAAATACACAAGGTTAATGTACCATTTAGACTAGTAGTTAGTGTAGTAAACTCACTTTGCTACCACAAGTACCCTAATACCCAAAAAGTGCTATGTAGGTGACACATTTGTAATTTGATTTACACAGAAAAACAACCTCAACACCTAAGTTCTGTGAAACCATAAATAATACACCATATAAAAAGAATAAAACGGAACTCTGCAATTTCTAGACAGCTTTAGTCACAGTTCAGATCACCTCACCACTTGAGTATATAGTAACACACAAATAGATATTTGCACTACAAATCCAACTATTTACAGGCTGTTAAACAAGGAATCATTATAACAGAGACAAAGAAACTCTGCACTGAGGGTCAAATTGAAAAAGAAATTCTAGAAAATGTTTTTGAAATCAACTGTTATCCCTACCAGCTTAATCTCAGCCTCCTAAAACAAAAACAAAAGAGTTCCCAAACCCAATATGAAACCAAAATTATCATACATCCCTAAATTAGGCAAGAAACTCGAGGGGTTATGCCCAATACAACATAAAAGTATATTTAAATCTGGAAAACCCTTCCAAAACACCATAATAAAGTTAAAAAACCCATTAGCAAGTTAAAAAGGACTAATCTAAAAAATATTGTATTTTTTGAGGAATGATATACATTTGAGAAACTGGTCAAACTATAGAACAAAGACCAAAAGAACATAAGGATGCAATTAGCCTGACACATATGGAAAAAAGATTAGCATTAGCAGAACATAGTTACAAAGTTGCCATATTATAAACTGAGGTTGAAATCAAATTGTGGACACAGCTCACCATTGGAAAATCAGGAATATTAAATATTCCTTTCACCTTAAAGTTACACCAACCTATACTCAACTGAAAGCACAGCTTTTATATCAGTAAACTCTGTACAACCTCTCTCATCAGACTACGTGTAATGAATGATGATGTCACACAACAAAGTTCTGATATGATGACTCATTTTGATGCACAGATTAGCTATTTTCCTCTTGAAGTAATGCTATTCTGCCTTAGAGATTTTCATTCCACCAGCCTTGTGAAACTTTCATCTAAACTTCATGTGAAAACATGTCAATTTGTGCACTGCATGATGATATATCATGCAACAGAACCTCCACTAGTAGGAATGTGACATACCTCCCTGCACAAATGCTCCCTCTATGTTTATTTGTGAAAATCCTCATTCTTTTCCTTGGCAAACTTGTGCTAAGATGTGTTTATTTTTGGTGAGACTTGTTGAAGTAAATACTTCATCAATTTTACTTTGTATTATCTAACTTTCAATATGAATTCACAGATTAACATGAATTCTTTTTTCCGCTAATGTGGGTACAATTATCACTCACAGTTACCACCAACTTAGGAAGTATTTTGCCTTTTGAGGTTGTGACAACCATCATATATTGCAAACAGTGCCACTCAGGTTGACAAGTACAGTAAGAAGAAGAGCAACATAAGATCGTCCAAAGTGTGGTGGGTTCCATGTTAATGTCTGTACCCTCTTCTTCCATCCCTGCCAAACATTTCCCATCACAATTTTTGAAGCTAAATTTGAAGAGGATGAAATGGAGGGACTTTTCCAGCCTTACATATGCCTTTTACCTGTTGTTTCCTTTCTTCTCGTCTGTTAGTGCCACACCCAGCATTTACCCCAGGTTTCAATTTGCTTCCACTGTTTTATGCCTCATCCTTCTTGCCTTACCAGGTAACATATAGTTATTGTTTAGATACTTAGTGTATTTAGTCTTATTTCATTTTTTTTTCACATGTACACATAGACATTGATGATTGATAATATTTAATTATTCCTTACCATGTAAACATAGATGTTAATGTTTTGTTACAGTTAGTTGTCTTTTCTCACGTAACAAAGTCATTGATATTTCATTCCGGTTTATTACTTGTTATGTCGAAATATAGGGTAGTGTTTACATCGTTGTTACTTCTTCACGTGGTAAATAATGCTTAGTGTTAACTGATTATACCTTGCCATGTATACCTGACTATTCATGCTTGATTCTAGTTCCTTATTCTTTAACTTTTATACTTAAAAGATAATGTTTAGTTCTTCTTCATTACTCCTTTATGTATACATATAGGATATAGCATTTAGATGTAGGTTCTGGACCTATGTCATTTGAATGTGTTCATAATTTGTCATGTTCTGACAGCACTGCACATTGTTAAAGGCTGTCTTCTCGACATTTCTGCTTCCTTCCCAAAGTTTGGTTCCTCATCCACTGGTCTTCTGTTGTTTGCTTTCTCATTGTTCCTTCTCCTTCTGTTGCTTTGCCAGACCCCCCTTTGTTAACCTCCACTATTCTGGTCTCCAATGCCTCATTCCTCAGCCCTTGCTGTCTATGCCTTCTGCCTGGTCTGTCCCATCTTTTTTACTATGCATGCATTTCATCCTCTCCATCTCCTCCCTTAGGCTTGTGTTTGGTTTTGAGATATCCCTTCATTTCGCACCCATAAGACAGGGCTTCAGAGCACCAAACTGTATGAACTACCATAAAAATCTAATTCATCTTTAAAACAGAAGATGTGAAATTTCTGTGGGTAAAGTATAAACCTGAAAAAGTTGATTTATGATAATAGGATAACTCCTCAAGTCTCAACCCTGTCCTTCCCTTCTTAATTTTCCATCCCATTTGATCCACCCCACACATCGCTTTATTCTTGGGATATGAATACTTTTATCTTTGCATGTGGGTTTGTCCAGTTCACCTCCCTGATCATGTAGATGTCCCTTTGTCCCACTTCTGTCACCCTTCTGCCTCTTCCATGTGCTGAATATGGGATGTATGTATCACTGTGGTTTTGTTGTTATCATTTCCCTTTGACTCCATTACATTGTAACACATTCCTTCTTATTCACAGAATGGTTATCTTGTGATCTTTAATTCTCTTCTGTCTTGTTTTTAGGGTGGCATTTCCTCCATTTTCTGTTATTCCTGATGTCATAGTTCCCTTATTCATTGTTCTTTTCTACCCTCTTTCATTCCTTCCTCATCCACTGTCCCCCTTTATACTTCTTGCCTGATTGGATTATAATTGTGGTTCTTCATGCTCTTGACCAGATCTATATTGAACCTCAAGCAGATATTTCTTCACTCCCTCGACATGAATCCTATTCCCACTGGACATTGATAGACTTTGTACACATGTCTACGCTATTGTTTCTTCTTGCTTTCTCATTACTGCTCTTCTCCTTTGTCCTGGCTGGTTTTTCCTTCCCTCATTTTTCATGGCAGGGAAAAGTGGTTACTCCTTTTTTGATATATCACCTCTTTCATTTTCTCTTTTCGGTGTTACTTTTTTTCTGGACAAATGCTCTTGTTCTGTCTGGGCCACATAGTGTTTTTTTCATGTTGGATAATCAACATGAAAAAAAAAGGCATGAGAAAAACATTGCTTAACAAACCTTAAGACTTAATAAAAAAATTGATATTTTATGTATGAAAGCATTGTAATGTTTACTGGTAATCTTCCAAATTTCATTAAAATATGCTTATTAATTTCAAACATATAGCATGAAAACTAAAACAAGCACAAAATGATTTCAAGGTCAGTCCCAGGGACTGATTCCATACTGAAAGAATTAATAGCCAACTCTAATGTATCTCTCAATAACCTTACTCCCAGAACTGGTGATGGGCCTGCAGAGTCTTATGAGTGAGTGTTTCATAAGCATCCTTAACCCTATCAAGACAGGTTTTGCTGTGGGTAGGGGTCAGAAAGCATGTCATCACATTTATAGTCTTACATTCAAAATTGTATTGAACTACTATTTTATGAATGTAAAAGTTACTGACCATATCAAAATCATATAACTATGTAATTACAGTACTGTAGATACAACAAAATAATATTATACTTTAAACCTTTCCAGACGGGCCATGGGTCAAAGGCCATGTCATTGCGTTTGTTGACTCGCGTTCAAAATTTTATTCAACTACTATTTCATGAATTTATGTCAATACGTTTGGCATCCAAGTGTAGATTATAATTCAAATTTTAGTATTATGCATTAGTTAATTTCTTAATTTAAAAGTAAATATATAAAAAAAACAACCTAAATATAGATTTTTGTTGTCAAGTGGTATGTTGAATGCAGCTTTGGTTGAAATTTAGATTTTGGTGATGTCCAAATACAAAGTCTGTAGTTTCTTATGATTTTGAAACTCAAATTACCAGTATTGACAAGTTAGAATATAAGATAAGAACCTTTTATCTTTTCTGTTTACCAAGATATTAATATATTTAGTGAATCAACCAAGGTGGCCCCACCCACCTCTTCTGTTTTTGGAAATACTTGCTTACATTACCTACTTTGCTCTATGACGTGTGTATAACCAATTGAAAGCTTAGAATGTCCCCATGTAGCTTTCTCAACCTTTGCAAAGTGTTTATTTGGGAAAACCTTTCTTTTCATGGTAAAATCGAAGTGGGGAGGCAAGAGATAATGGAGCTCAAAATATCATGATTTTGAAGACCCAGATACAGCTTAGTTACTAAGCCTGATAAACTATAGTGGAATTTTGTGGTATTGATATAGTAATATATAATTTTTTATTATTTCAAAATGCATATATATAACCTAAAAAAAATTTGTTTCACATCCTCCTTGACAAGGCTTAGCAAATTATGGCAAACAGCAAGCAATTACAAACTTTGTAACTAGAAGAAATCATTGTTTTCTATATTTATTTACTTACTGTTCTATGTTTTAAGAAAAATAATATAAATATAAGAATTTATTTGTAAATAGTAATAATATATATACATATATAATGTAGTATAACTGAAAGTTGACTGTATTTCACAAAATACTGGTCCACTAGAACAAAGCCAAGACAGGTCACTTTGTAAAGGCAAGTTTTATACTATTGGATATGGTAACATGATTGAATGTGTGCTGCATTATTGCAACTTCTGTAATGCTAGTCAGACATGGTTGAAAGCTCAATAAAATAAAAACAATAAATATATATAGATGTATAATGTTATGAGATTTAAATTATTTAGACTAAACATTTTTTTTTTTGATAAAAGGGTTAGCACAAAGGATCACATATAAAGTGTAATAGACTTAAGATAAGACCCAAAACTCGAGTGCTTTCGAATTGTTGACTATACTTTTTCAAGACTAGACATATGTGGTTTCTTGTTATAATTTGTAGTTATTCTAGAATGAAAAAAGTGTAATTTATATCTATTTCCTAATTTTTTATGGTGGTTACGAGGTCGGTCATATTGACCAAACTTATACAGAGATACAAATAACAAATAAAATATAAAGTTGTTCTAAAAAAAATGTTTGATAATTATCTGGAGGCTATTATGAGGTTATAAAGATTTAGCATTTGAAATATGACAATTTTTTGATGCATAAAAGTATTTTTAATTTTCAAATCGAAAGTACTTTTCATGTTGGATAAAAAATGCATGAGCAAATCATTCCTAAAAAAATCTTAAAACTTAATTTAAAAAAACCCGATATTTTACGTACAAAAGCCTTGTAATGTTTACTGATACTGTGCAAAATTTTGTGAAGATAGGCTTACTGTATTAAAAGTTATTGTATGAAACTATAATAATTACAAAATGATTATGAGGTCAATTCCTGGGACTGAGCTTGTAGTGAGAGAATTAAATTGTGTCCACTCTGGTGCCCTCCTCTGTGACTGCATGGACCCTTAGTGTTTGATGGTTGAGGAGCTGTGCACAGATACTTTTCACTACTCTTGGTGGTGGACTGATGGTGGAAGATGTGAGCACACTTGGTACACTCTGAAAGTGTCCTAACCTTACTACAAATATTGGCCTTCTGATGGCTTGTGTGCAAGCTCTTAGATGGTCGTGTACCTATTCTGCCCATCCTTGTGACACCTTTCATGCTTCTTGCCTCTCCCTATCCTTCACTGTCATATCCCATGGGCCTCCTTTTAGTGCTCCAGAAAAGAAACTCATCTAGGTAATTTCTCACCAGCCCCTCTACCATCTCATCTTGGGATTCTAGTTAATCTGTGCAGGAAGGTGAGTCATAATATTAAAAGTTAACCTCATCTGAAAATGTATTTCTGATAGATACTCACCTCCATGCACATTTCCGCCATTCCTTCCCACTTTCCCAGTGCACTTTATAGATTGCCTCATCAAAGAATAATGATTTTTTGCATGTAAATGTAGATGGATCATTTGCATAGGGAGGTATGTTGCATTCCTATTGTTGGGGGGTTTTGTAAAGTGATGCATCATCACACAGTAGCACAAATTCACTTGTTTTCACATGAAATTTAGATGGGAGTTTCACAAGGTTGATGGGATGCAAATCTCTAAGGCAGAATAGCATGATTTCAAGAGAAAAAAGCTAGTCTGTGCACAGAGGTGAGTATGTATCACAAAATACATTTTCAGGTAAGGAAATACACCTATTCACATGGAGAAATAAATGCACAGGAAGGAACTTTATCAACAACAGTTACTAACAAAAAGATGCAACACAGTAAATAACTCAAGACTTTAACCTGAAGAAGGTCTCAATATAGAACCTAAAAACATTCATTCATATCTAGAAACAGGCAAAACAGCCCTTAAAACCCAAACTCCCACCTTGTTTACACTGCCTAAAATACTCTTGAAACAACTGTTTGTTCTTTTTCTTTAAAAAATCAATGTTTTCAATTAACTTGTTATTACACTGAGAGTCAGATCTACTTTATGTAAATGAGTTTAGTTAACAATCGTTTCACTAACTGGTGAACGGTCTTCTTTTTTTATCATCTATTTTTTATTAGTTTTTGAAATTATTATCTTGAGTCAAGATTTAGGAGCGTGTGTATGGTTTTTTTCTTCTTGCTCATTGTATGTAAAGCCCATAGTTAAAATGAAATATGTCTAAAGATATACCTAATTTCTTTTTCTTTGTGCTTTAGATTGTTTTACTCTTCAGTGCCGAGTTCTTAACAAACCTTATGATATTTTTGGAACCTGGTATACTGACGATTATCTTCTAGCTGGCCGCCTTCATTTTCTTGGTCATTTCATATCTTGCTCAGCTTTGTGGTTAAACAAGGCATGGCAGGAGAGCGATTCAGAAAAGAAACAGATAGTGAAACGCTTATTTAAGTTCTATAACAAAAGTGCTAGTTCTATTAGAACCATAATGATAGCTAATTGTCTTCAGTCTGAAGAATCCAGTGCAGAGGAATCAAATGGAGGCAATAAACCTGTTCTTGAATGTGGACAAAGAGAGCCTTCTACACTTCATCAACTTTCAGAACAGCTTGTTAAGGGTAATCCAGTCTCTCACAATGCTCTTTCCACATCTCAGTGGCCAGTCCCAAATTCCAGAAGACGACAAAGGTCCACAGAATCTAGTTCTATGGATGTGAAAGTAGACTTTAATGCTGAATGCCAGGAGGCATGCACAGTTTACAGTCCAATTCGATACAGTTTAGAATACAGGAGAGTGGAGAGTGCTAGAGAAGGAGTAGATAGTGATGATAATGATGATAATAACAGCACAAGCCCTGATTTTGAAGATCCACCACTGCCCTGGGATGAAGACTGGTTTGAATTAAGTAAGTGCATTCAGATTATTTTTCAGACTTTTAATTATGGCATTTTTCTCATTGATAGATTTTAAAAACAATGAAAGAATGGGAATAGTACTGTGTTAAAGATTTTACCTAATCTCATAAAAAAGGTGTCTGAATATATATTCTTATAATTGTTGCTGTCAGATTTTCTTTTCAAATAAGCTCAAAAAATGTTTTGTGGATTAATTTCAAAAATGGGCTCTGTCATTCGTAATCTTATAGTAGAGAACAAAAGAATTAATCAATAAACTAATGCAATTGTGAGCATGATTAGGATGTATGTTTAACTGAATGTGGATGGGTCAGTCCATTGGACTGACACTGTATTGGAGAAGGGATGTTGACTAATTCTGAATTTACTAGGTGTATCTCCGCAAGATGTGGTAAATTTTACTGAAATGTACAAGTTTCTTGGACTCAAAAAATCAGTTGTGTTACAAAAGTATTTGTACTCAAGATATGACTGTGAATTGATTACATCAAGTTGGAGTGTAAGGTAGTGTTCATGTGAAATAGAAGAATTCTTTTATCCACCATACAGTTGACATATTATATTTACATAACCCCTAAAACCTTCAAAATTATATCTACAGTTTTTGTTCTGTATCTCTGTGTACTATATCTAGTATTTACGTTCTTCTACCAATGAACTGCTGCTAAGTCAGCAGTGTAAGTTAAAATTATTAGTTGATAACTTTGCTGTCAAATACATACCATGCTGCATAGCACTGTGTAAAAGGTCATGGTGTATGTACTTTGGCCCCCACTCATGCACGTAGGGTTAAAATGTGTGTAACTTCCTTAATGGTTTCAGACACATTAGATTACTGCTTAACGTAAGACGTGCTATCCAATTAGTATCCCCCTTTTTGTCTTTTATGATTTATTTTAAATCAGGTTTGTATTTGATTTACTTTTGAGTTTGTTTGTGTCATTATATTAGTTTAACCTCTTTACTAAAATAGTTAGGTAACATCACCACTGGGGCTCTTGTAGTAATTCTTTGGTTAAACATTTTTGGCCTCTTTATTTGGTTACATGACCAATTTTTCTCATCTTGTTGGCTGATAGAACTTGCAAATCCATGTATGTCAGTGTTCTTTGTAATTGCTTTCTCTAACATTATATATGTTATTAGGTTATTTTTTGTAAGAAATTTGTTTGCTGTAAATTAAGACAGATTTCAGTTTTAACAAATCATTTCTTAATATTCTGTTAAAATGAAGAGGTAGTACTGAGATGTACTGAATTTTAATTGAACAGTCCTTTCCACTTTGATCCTACATTAAGTAATAGAAAATAATAAGCCTAAAACTAAGAAATCTAGTACTATAGGAAAAATAGCTTGTCAAGAAGCTTAAAGACATTGAGTGTTAACATGAAAAAAAGAGAAAAAATAATTTAAGATAAGGCCTTAACAAGTAATTGTTTTTGCAAACAGAAACAACTTTAATATATATGAAAGGACATATTTTTTTTAGTGCAGATGTGTACAGAAATAACAGCTAGATTGTTTCAGTAGTTTTTTTCATGTGTTTTTACTATTAAAAATGTGCAATTCCTAATTTCAGTATGTTATTCAGTTAATGGTAAGAGAATATTATTAAATTACTAATGAAATTTTTAGCATGTAGTTTGAGAAGAACTGAAAGAGTTACATAAAAATATTTCCTAATATGTACAAAATAATCTGAATAAAAAATGCAAGTGGTTTTATATGACTGGATGTGTTAATTTTCTGGAAACTGAAAACATTCATAATAAACAGAAATAGCTATTCATTTAGCATCTCTCTTTATAAGAAGTGAGCTAAAGATTATCTTAGTGACTGCTCGGTGTCAATTTTTACTCGCAGTTTGAGTGTAATCTATTAGGAAAGTTGTAAATGGATTCTAGAAGGAAATTCTTGCTTCATTACTTACATTGGTGTGAATTATCTAGTTTTTAGAAATGTTACAGCAAAATGTTTCTGAAAATATTAATAAATAATATAAGAAGAATTTAACAGTTTCATATAAAAGAAAAGGGATAGTAATAAATAATATTCTTTTTTGGACTTGTATTATTAACTGTTTTATAAGAATGTATGTTTCATTTGTTTTGAAACCTACCCCATCAGTCTTACGTTAGAAATAATACATTTCTAATAACTGTTTTTACTAATAACTTGTATATGTTTTGAAGATAATGCAGAGTGCCATCTTAATTCTGATTAATCTAAATGAACTAAGGAAATATTTCAAGACTTTGTAAGCACATTTTAATTTGTATGAAGTCGTATGTTTTGTAAGTAAGAATTGAGAAGTGACTTGTTAGAATGCTTGATTACGAGGAGTCATCATCTTCAAATGTTCACAAATTAATTTTTGCCATTTTTACCATTTTCCAACATACGTGTACGATGTTGTAAAATCCTTACTTTTATGTCCAATGTATAATGAATATAAGAAAAAAGTTTTTGGTGCCTTTTATGGAAAATTTGTTGCAGTGAAAAAAGAAAAGGTTGGGTATTAAGAAAATGTTAAACATATAAAATACTGCATATATTCCAGTTTCATTTGTAGTATGCATTGGGTGGTCTTGATCAATTATCATGAATAAGATATTGACGTGATGAAAATAGAGCTGAAAAAGAGAAATTTAGTGTCATAAATCATGACTAATCAAAATTAGTGTTTCCAATTATTGCTATTTTTGGTTATTCCAATTATCCAAATCCCTTGTGAGATTAATTGATTAGTTGAATGTAATTGATTAATGAGCCTGATGATTAACTGATTAGCAAATTTCACAAATCACCCAGCTCTGGTTATGTTGCTGAAAGCAAGTAGATTTTAGACATAATTTTCAAAAACTTTGATGATAAGGAACCAACTTTGAGACAACAAAGTTTGAAGGTGGTTTAAATAGTTATGAAGACAACTATTACATGTTTAACATAGTAACAAATTACAACAAAAGCCATCTTCAAACTGGTGTCTAAAAGTGGGTTCTGCATCATCAAATTTAATTTCAACGTGGTAATTACTCAAGGTTGTGTAAATCTAAACATTGTTTTTATTATCCTACATCAATCTTTCTAAGTAAGTTTTCTCACTTGTAGACCACCATAAACTAATTCTACCACACAACTATCTCTTGAACTTCATAACTTAAAGATAAAAATCTTCAAATGTGCCTTTCATTCATATGCAGTGCAGTTAATTGTAAATTTTGTTGTGACTATTCTGTATTTTAATCATTCATTATCTGTTTAATTTCTAAGTAAATAACTGTAAAGACACATTCTGTACATACATGTATGTGAGTAGAAGCTGTTGTGAAAGTTGTACAACTTACTGCATGTGTTTGTTTTTACATGCAGGTGAAGAAGATGGGTCTGAAGTGAGCAACAAAATTAACATTTTCCAAGAAAACTTTAGGGATAATGATGTAGAAAGTGAAAAAGAAGAGAGAGAAACAGTTGACAGTATAGAGGAAGATTTAAGTGGAGAGAAATTATTGGATCCACGAGAAAAGTATTTAATATTCACTACAGGTTCATTGACGTACACTCCTCATCAAATTGGTTTCAAAAGAATAAAGCCATTCAAGTAAGCTGGCATATTATTTTTTTTTTTGAATATTGTTTAAAAATTCTAGTTACATTTACAATTTACAAAAAAGTCTTTAGAAGCATAGGGGTTTTAGTTTACAAAAATATTTATTTTAAAAGGCATTTACGTAAATGTATGATAAGTTAATTTAAAGGGCTTGCCATAACGTTATTGCCATAATAAAGTTTTCTTTTTTCATAACTAGATAATTAGGAATAATGAGATTTTGGTTTCAAGTTCCAAAAAATCAATTTTTGGAGAATTGCAACAAGAATTACCTGTTGTGAATTGGACAAATGAATTTATTAAAGTTGTGTATCAAATGTGGAGAAATTTTTAAGTAATGTTTTAAATATTCAAGATAAACATATTCATTTCAGACAGAAAAAAAAGGTGGGTGCAAGTAAAAAAAAAACAAGTTGGCTTAACCAATTACCTGCCATGGACATTTTGTCTTATCGTGAGGGCAAAATCACATTTGTGAACTGAAAAAATTATAGAAAACTTATCTTTTATTGGATTTCAGATTTTATTTTTGTAAATAGTAGCGTAACATTCAGTTATAAACATATATATATACAAAATTTATTATTTAATGAAGTTTAAAGAGGAATTTAATGAAAAAAAAATCCTAAAATATGTTTCAGATTCTAAATAAGTGCCCTCTAAGAAGAAAATTTTTTTAAAAATTGGTACAAAAATTTTTCCTTCCACTTCAGCACTGGTCCTGCCATCTATGATTGAAATCTAAACCTTTTTCTAGTCTGTTTTCTTTATAAAACAGAGTCTGGGCATGTTAAGCCTCAGTTGTAAAACTTTTAGCCAATCGTGGTTGAATGTGTCAATTTCAGTACCATGTTATTCCAATCACTGTATTTCACATTTGACAAATCATAGGATGATAAGCAAAGGACGTGATGAAACATTGTTCTCTGGATTTTACAATATGAATATGTGTGGTGCTTATTATAGTAACTGCCATTTTATGTAGAGGTTGTATTTAGTATTGGCTAATAGTACTTTACTGTAAGCATTAGAAAATTTGCTTCTGGAAGAAACTGCATGGGATGTACGTGACTTTTATTATTTTTCTGTAGTAGCTTAAGTCATGCTCTATCGTATATCTACTTATATTAATCATTATATTGATAAATTAACTCAAAATAGATATATTTTTTAGGAAAGAAGTTGATCC